ACTCTTATAACTAACAAACGAAGCATTTTTCGCAATTTCGTTATTCTTGATTTTCGTCTTATTTTGCCTCAAAGAATCACCCCTTAAATTTTTTCCCACTAGTTGTCGAACACCCTGTATGGACGCCAGAGCCAGAGTGTATCAAGTCACACTTTTCAAACTTTAGAAGAGAGCAAATCAAAGATTACGAAATCTTGTAACTTTGGAATCGTTCGGTAAGGTTTCAACGAGAAATTATCGCTAATTTCGTACTATTGAATGGAGATTTTATATTTTTTGACTTCATGATACGTAGTACGATAGACGTTGCAGTGACATTCAATAATCCTGTTGAAATTTTGACTGTGGACTACTTTACATCGAGATATCATAGGCATGGTTTGTACAGTGCAATTTTTTATCAACACGATTAGCGCCACCTACAATTTGTCACGCTGCACGAATATTGTAACATAAAATTTTTTATTCACTTAAATGTATAATAAATAAATCAATGATTTTTCGCCATTAGTGACTTAGTATTTCATGTAGGGAATAATGAATGGCATCAAGTAGTGTATTAAAAATATATGATTCCATTTAAGAAAACAAAGTTGACCTTCATATGACCTCTATGCACCCACGTATAGGTAAAAAAGTTACATCACAAAGTGTCCCCTGATACCATTTCACTTTTGTCTAAAACATTATCTAATATCGTCAATAGTTTCGGAGATATTCGAGTGGGTCGATGTAAGAGAGGAGGAGCCTGATATAAACGGGTTGAAAAGTAATGAATTTTTGGGAATTTATTATGAAAAAAGTTTTAAACCAATCTCTTTGAAACTTTGTGAATACTTTATTGTAGAATTAAACTGAATACAAAAATGTTTATTTTCACGACATATCTATAAATATTATACTTATAAGGAGTTATATGCCTTTATTGTTTCAATACATCATATTTTTTAGCAGTTTTTACTTGAAACGGTTACCTTTTTTAAAACAAATGTCATTTTTTCAATTTTGCATTCTTTAACTTCAAAATCACTGAACACGCAGGGTTGGCACGGATCACTGAACACACATGAACCATGCTGTGAAGAAGATGTTAGAGAATATGTACATGCAAGGCTGGGTCAGTTGGTTGAATATTCTTTTAGTTACATACCCCGGCGTGGAACACCTTCTTCGTTCACGGGCAGCACGTAAATCCTTATAACTATAATATTTATGGTTTCGTCGTAAAAATAAAAATGTTTGTATTCAGTTTAATTCTCCAATAAAGTATTTACACAGTTTCAAAGAGATTGATTTGATACTTTCTTCATAATAAATTACCAAAAATTCATTAATTTTTAGCTATTTACACCAGGCTCCCCCCTTAAATGGGACATCCATCTGCAGTGGATCCAAAAAGTATTCGTACACCGTTTAAAACAGAACAACTCTTTCAAAATTGGACCAACTGACATGAGTTTCTTTGTGAAGTTAGAAGGATTAGTTTACTAAATGGTGTGTTAAAAAAATTGTAAAACATTTGCGACTTTTCAGAATGTCGATGAAAATAGTAAATGTCGTTTTTAACAACTCTTTTCTCTGAGACTGTAATGAAAATTTAATAAATACATTTCGAAGATTTATGTCAGTTATATACATACTACAACTTTGATTGAAATCGGTTAATACAGAAACGAGTAACAGGTATCGAAAGATGTAAGAATCTTTAGATATACTACAGTTGTAGGACAAAAGTCGCGAAAAACTACGTTTTACAACATTGTTAACCGTTTGTATCTCATAACAACGTTAACCGATTTCGATAAAATTTTCAGCATGCATATAACTAACAAATCTAAGCAATGTATTAGTTAAATTTTCATTACAATCTCAGATAAAAAAGTCGCAAAAAGCAACCTTTACTATTTTCTTCGCGATTCCGACCAATTGCAACTTTTTCAACGTTTTGTTAACACATCATTAGTACACTAATCCTTATAACTTCACAAAGAAACTCAAGTCACTTGGTCCAATTTTGAAAGAGTTGTTCTGTTTTAAAGGGTGTACGAATACTTTTTGGACCCACTGTATATGAAAACGTGTTACAGGATGGTCGTTAGTATTTCGTTCGACAGGGCAGCAAAATACATACATAGCTGCACTACGTTTCATCCTAGATAAGCAATCAACCCTTTCAACATCCCGTGTTGGAAATACGAAGGAGTCGTATTAGTAAGTTTTTAGCAGACGACCGAGGGGTCGTCGTCGGGTTTCTTCTCGGTGAGATGATCGAGAATGGAAGTTTCCCAATAATAAGTACCGTCTCGTCCCTTCTAGCAGGCTGCATGAGAACACCGGTGGCATCAGTCGCGGAGACAGAGGACAGGGGGATAAAGCGAGAAGCTTCTGTTCCTTCCGCGATAAAGGAGAACGACTCTCTTCGAGACACTCTGGGCAGACTTCGCGGGATATCATTCGGGTTTCTTAAACTTTTCCCCAGCGATTATACGGCGACGTCAATGACCAAGCTCAGGAATCTCCTCGTCTGAGCCTTCGCCTTCGGGGTAGGGGAGATTGGGTTAAGGGGGTAGGTCGGGTAAGATGGCGAATTTACTCACAAATTATTTCGTAACTTTGTACCAAAGACAACTGTAAAATTATTACTTTTATATACAGGGTGAGTCAATAAGTGCTACATAAGAATACACATAAGAATATACATAAAGAAAATTTTACATGCAATTCAAAATGTAATTCATGCGATAGAAATAGCAGCACTCAATTTTCTTTTTCCGTTATGTTTTGTGAAATGATAAAAAATGTTTAGTCGATTGGAAGAGTAAAAAAGACGACTTCCTTACTAGCCAAAAGGAAAACAAGGTACTAAACAAAAGGCTATAATTGTCATATTTGAGCTAGTAACGTAATAAAATGTAATGTTTTAGATAATATAAAGATCATAGAAAATAATGTCAATCATAATTCAACGATTCGTTAAGTTTTTTAGTTTAATATTTGGGTGACAGTGATTGGTACAAGTGTTTCAACCATTTTTTAATTACTGTCATGTCTGTAATTGCTTACGAAAACAAAGCCATACGGTCTGCAGTTACGTGCAACCTAACCTAAAAAAGTGACAGTGTTTAGGTATATGAGGTGACAGTATTTGGTTGGTAGTATTGGGGTGTCAGTAATAGGTTTCGACATATATTTTTGAAACTAATGAATTTATAAACAGAAGGAAAAGTTCAGAAAAAAAAACATATATTGTTTGTCTGCTAGAAGAGTGACACGCAATTAACAAAACATTTTTTCGGAAATCGATTTGAAATTTTCTGTAGTAGAAAATTAGTAGTCACTCAAGCATTTAGTATTGAAAAACAATTATGTCTTGTACAATTTAATCTTTAAATTTCGAGTATCTGTAATAAAATATTTGTTCTGTGTACTGCTTATTATTAACATTAAACAGAAGTTAAAACTATCCTAGTTTGAATTACGGCACTGTTCTTAATTAATAGTATAATTTTATGATAAACATACATTTCTGTCTGTCAAATAAAACTAGCTCACTTAGTTAGAATTAATTTTCCAAACATCTCTAAATTAACGATCTTTGAGATGTGGCATTTTTCTCGTAAACCGACAATATACAGGGTGTCCTACACAACTGGGCCGAGCTATAGCGTGAAAACAATAGATGTTGCGAAGTGTTCGCGAAAAATGTTGAAGTTGGAGTATTTCACGAACGTCGCTTTCCGAAGAATAAATTAATATTATCGGAATAGTTGAAATAAAATGAATCGACACTGGTGTCGTGTGTAGAAATTGTATTTGATATCTGAGAACGCACTAGACTGACGAAGTGGTCTCTACTAATGTTGGATACAGAATGATGTCTTGTTGTCGCAGTACTGAAAATATCTACAGGGTTGTGTGTGACTTGAGTGGTGTGTTGGAGTGGTGGATGTATTTGTATATGATTGGTGCTCTGAGTTGGTGTGGGTGTGGCAAAATTTGTCTGTAATGTTGGAAGGGAGAACGATGCGCTAAAGTTCCCCTTCTCGAAGTAGACCTGGAGTTCCGGGAATCGATGGTCAGGAAAAACCGAAAATTAATAAAAATATGAGTGTCCTGCACGTGGTTTGCAGCTGTCCAAGAACCCCAGGTGATGGTCATAGTCGACGTCTAACGGCAATTTGAAAACAAAAGGCCGCGGGTCGGTCCTTGGCTGAATGCGCTGGCAAAAATTCCCTGCCATAAATGACCCGATTGCTATAGCCCCGAGTTTGCTATAAGCACGTTTCAACATACCGCCCCCCTTGACCAGCAATGGTCAATAAGTGATAAATATAAAGTAGCCAGCGGAATGTATGTGTGTTTGTCAGTGTAACTTATTCCTAAGTACTTATAAATCTACTGTACAAGTGTTAAATTATGTACATATGATACTGTACAGAGAACAAAAAACGGTGGTACGAATATAATTGTATGTACATGTGAGATGTTAAACATATATACATGAACTAGTCTAACGGTAGCAGTGATAATTTTTTCAAGCTACGCTTATATTCGCCGGCAACGGTTTTGATCGTCACGACTCGTGTGATATGGTCGTCACCAGGATGTAACGCAACTATCCTGCCTAGGGCCCAACATAATGGTGGTACATTGTCCTCATGTACGATGACCAGTGCACCCTCCTTGACCTCAGTTGGCGTGGATGTGTGCCATTTTCTGCGAACTGTTAATTCGTGTAGATAGTCCTTGTGCCAACGTGTCCAAAAATGTTCTTTCATTCGTTGCACATGTTGCCACATCGATAATTTGGTGGACGGAACGGTAGCAACGCTTGACTCATTGATACTTGTAATCAAGTCACCGATTAGGAAATGTCCAGGTGTGAGTGCGGTAAAATCGTTTGGATCGGTAGATAAAGGAATAAGTGGGCGGGAATTTAAGATGGCTTCAATTTCCGTTAAATACGTTGTCATGGCTTCATACGTTAGTAAAGTTTTTCCGATTGTACGGAATAAATGACGTTTTACTAGTTTAACAGTTGCTTCCCATAGACCACCAAAATTAGGCGCGCGTGGCGGAATAAAGTGCCACGTTATGTTATTATTTATTGCGTACTGTTGGATGTTACTATCTTTAATGGCGATTTCGAATGAATTATGAATTTCACGCAATTCTCGATCTGCGCCAACAAATGTTTTGGCATTATCCGAATAAATGTCGGACGACTTTCCTCGTCGCGCGAAGAACCTTTTAAGTGACGCTAGAAAAGAATCTGTGGTGAGATCACCAACCAATTCAAGATGAACTGCCTTTGTAGAGAAACATACAAATACTGCTACATAAGCTTTCACTGTTTTGGTGTTGCGAACGCGTTTTTCTTTAATATATAATGGACCGCAATGATCGATGCCAGTTATTAAAAATGGACGGTTTAAGGTAACCCGATTTTTGGGTAAATTTCCCATTTGATATCGCGAAATCGTTGGATTCGCGCGATGACACGGTACGCAGGTACGGATGCAATGTTTGACTGATTGCATAGCATTGATGGGCCAATAGATTTGTCGAATCGCGTTTAAAGTGCCTAAAACACCTGTGTGATAATGTCGCCAATGCATATGACGAATAACTAGTGTAGTAAAATGGTGTTTAGCTGGCAATAATATAGGGTGCTTTTTATCGTACGTGGTGGTTGCATGTTTAATTCGTCCACCTACGCGTAAAATATCATTCTCATCTATAAAAGGGTTTAACATGCGTAATTTGCCATTGTAATATTGTTTGGAATTTGATAAAAGT